ATATACATATATATATATATATATATATATTATTTATATATATATATATATATTTATATATATATATATATCTCTCTCTCTCTCTCTCTCTCTCGCTCTTTCTACTGGGTGCCAGTACAAGCATACTAGGCATTAACATCCTACGCCACATCTGTGATCTATTCTCGGTGCTTGACGGGTATAACATGGAAGGCTTCATCATCGGCTGAACTATGCTTAAGGGTTCATAATCAGTGTAACCTAATTATGATATACCCTCCCCCCAAACCCTGCTCTCCAAACCCTCAACCCCTTTATTGCAGCTTACGGCTAGGGTTAGTGGAGAACCTGGACATTACAAAGCTAAACCTTAAAGCCCTGACTCTAAGCGTTTACATAAAACCTGAACACCACATGTAGGGCTTGGGCTTTATAAGTTTCGGTATTAGACTTTTTGGGACGGGCGGGTGGCTTTAGGCATTAGCGTTGGAAAGCCAGCCCTGACCAATCCATAGCCCCTCCCGCGGCACGCCCATGCCTCCAATATGGCAAGCGAAACACAAGAAGAAACCCCTAAACCCTAAACCCCTAAACCCTAAACCCTAAACCCTAAACCGCCGCAAACGCAACAACACTGCGCTAACAGACTTCTCGAAACCAAAACCCTGAATCTGAACCGGCAAACCTCCAGCCGCCCCTACCCTAAACCCTAAACCCCTCTAAACCCGAAACCCCTAAACCATAAGAGCCCTAAAAACCCTAAACCCCTAAAAACCCTAAACCCTAAAACCCCAGAAACAAACCCACCCGCACCGCAGTATAACCTCAGGACATCGGTCTCAGGGGGTCGCCCCCCAAAAGCTCCCAACCACATATGCCCCCAAGAAAGGAACCTACAAACCCTCTCCATCTCCCTCTCTCTCTCTATATATATAATATACATATATATATATATATGTATATGTAAATTATCTCTACATAGGTAGATAGATAGATAGATAGATAGATAGACAGATAGGTACATGGATAGACTGGATAGATAGATAGATAGATAGATAGGTAAGTAGATAGACTGGTAGATGGATAGACAGATAGATAGACCCTGAACCCCTGAAGCCCTCCAACTCTATCATCGGAACCTGTGGGGCGCCGCCGACACCCTTGCCCTGAGCAGGATTTTTAGGATTGAAAGGGTCTGTTTATTGTTTGCGCAGTTCTGAAGATGATAGGGAACAAACATACAAACATACATACATACATACATACATACATACATACATACATACATAACTACATGCATAATTACATGCAGAATGACGTGCATGCCTAGCATATCGCAGCCAGAGTCAACTACCTTTGTAGTCCTTCAGACATCTGGTAATACATCTAATTGTGTTTCTGGACTACTGTTATTGTTGCTATTATCTAACATACAAATATTACAAACTCTTGTGGAGTAGCGGCGTACCTCAAATTCTCGTTTCAGCTTTTCGGCTGCTCGGCGAAAAAAACAACTGCTAGCTTGACCCGTTAAAGAGTATGGCGGGAATTGTGATTAATTCGAACCCTTATAGTTGTGGTCAGTGATGGTGCGGCACTGCGTTATAACATCTAAACACCATAATCCCAAAAACCCTCGACTGCAAAGCCCCAAAGCGACTGTCGCTCACCTCCATCTTTGCAGTTGGGTGGTTCGCCCCAGAAGTTGCTACGACACCTCAACCGAGGTGCGTACTACAAATCACTCACCCTTCTCTGAAATTCCGGTATCTGGCTAAGTTTAAGATCTTTGCGTCTCTGGAAAGCCACCCGAAACTGAGTCCACCGGCGCCGTGCGCAGGCATCGGCATCTTGTCCACCTTCACGAACGCCACGGCCCCGACCTGTGATCGAAGAGGGAGGCTCCTGGCCTTGACTGTGTTACTGTAGGGACCTTACTTAAAGGGACTTAGTAAGTAGGGTTTAGGGTTTAGGGTTTAGGGTTTAGGGTTTAGGGTTTAGGGTTTAGGGATCATGGGACTTAGTAAGTAGGGTTAGAACTAAGGTAACTGTACTTATAACCCCAATCAGGGGACTTATAACCTTACTTACTTACTTAGTCCCATGATCCTCCAAGTAATGCGGGGTATGTTATACTATAAGTATAAGAAGGAACCTTTGACCGTTGAAGTAGTATAGGTAATTATTCAGGCCCTCATATTTGATAGGGTATTAGAGTCGAGAGTTTAAGAGGGTTCAGGGTTTAGCGGCTTAAGGCTACTACAAGTTGGTTATGCGGAACTCTATCCGCAAGTTATGCTAACTATTCCGACCCTGTGTTCCCCTTCATCCCAATAAACCCTAAACCACCGGCTGGCCTGAAAGCCGAAACCTCAAGCCCTGAACCCTGAGCCCTAAACCCTAAACCCTTGCCTGCGCGCAGAAGTCTTTCAAATCCTGCCACTCCACGGAAGGCTCCAGGTTGTCAACGAAGATCTTTGTGCCATCCTTACGGCTAGGGTATGGGGTGTAGGGTTTAGGGTTTAAGGTTTAGGATGCCAGGTGCAGGTTTTATAGGGTTTTTTTTTGATCTTTGTACCATCCTTGCAACTTCCCAGAGCACCCCAGTGTTGGGGCTGAAGATAGAGGTTTAGGGTTTAGGCGCTGCTTTCAGGAATGCAAAAAGGGACCACTGCATGGGACATTAAAGGGGCTGCCAGGTTCCAGAGACTCCACAGCCCTGTAGGTAAGTTTAGGGTTTAGGGTTTGGGGTATATGCCTCCTTAAGTAAGCCATGCTGCTTTTAGTTTCCATTGTAGTTCGATCTTTGGAAACTGTTGTGGGCCCTACAATGTAAAATTCAAGCTGGTTAATCGAAACACGGAGCTATCATGGAGACTACGGGTAAGGTTCCTGAATGCGTGAAGGTCGTCTACCTGGTACCTATACGTCCCTGGGCGCCAGGGTTGGCACTCAAGGCTTGCAGGGTTTTAAGGTCACGGGTTGGCAGTTAGTGTGTGTTTAGTTTAAGGGTTTAGGGTTTAGGGTTTGGAGGAATGGATTGGGCTTGAGGCTGCGGGATTCCAAATTTCACGCGACTTGCAGATCAGATCTTGGTCGTCTGCGTTGTTCCGGTCCAGGGCCCAACCGCAGGGAGAGAGCATTTCCCCTCAAATTTGGGCTCCGCTGCCAAAATACTCGGATCCTGACTATGGGCATGCTAGCAAGAGACCCATAGTTTTGATGAGCTCGTATAGATTGAAGCTATTGTTAGCTACCCTAAACCCTAAACCCTAAACCCTACACCCTAAACCCTAAACCCTACTCTATTTGCTGCCACAATATAGAACCTCAGGGTTCCCAAGGCAAATTCTCCAGAGACAAGGAGCATCTACTTGAATGACATGCCGGGTGTTGGTGTTCAGGGTCCCCCGTAAAAAGGGTGGTTTAGGGTTTAGGGTGTAGGGTTTAGGGTGTGACAAGTATCCAACTCTTTAGGAGATTGGAGCTCTAAAGGCTTGATGTTTGAAGCTTGAGTGTCAGGTTTGGGGTTTAGGGTTTAGGGAAAATCTGAGGCGAGGGCTAGGGTTTAGGGATTTAGCTCTACAACGCTTGGCGTCTTGCACTCCGCTGAAACTGTCAAATCCGATGATGCTGCCAAAACTATGCGTTTGCCGAGTCCCTACGCGGACCCGAAAGAAGCTACAACAGTTGCCTGTAGCCCGAAAACAATAGGATTTCTAGGCTGCTCGTCTGGGTGATTTGGCCTTCTCGGTCTAGGTAGACCTTTACGCGTGTCTTGGCCGAAGGAGGGGGAGAGGAAGCTGCAGTCCCCGTGCTCTCGCGCCGTTTTTCTGGCATGAGGTGCTGTGGAAGCTCATTACGTGGCACTGTAAGTATGCGAACGGCATAAGCATCTGCAAGACGAAAACCGCTGGTGTATGGCCAACGAGTCGGCTACGCCGAACAGATGGCAGTTGAGACATAACTGCAGCACAAGCGCCAACACCAAAATGGCACCAAATACTGGATGGCATGTGATCACGAAGCTCTCTGCTGCTCCAGCGTTGAGCGCGTACAAGAAGCCACAGGTGCAAGCTGCCAGGTAGCCACCTAGCAAGAGCAGCACATTCCGAAGGAATCCCGCCGCTGTCTTGGCCACAGTACAAGCTGTGAAGCGGAGCAGGCAAGGTGGAACACATGCAAAACTGACGGGGGCGTCCAGGAAAGCAACTGTTGCAGCGGCTATGAAATATTGCTTTGTGGAAGCATACCCCAAATTTTCGTGCAGTGGCCACGATGCCCAAAGCTGCACACTGCCTGCTAGTAGAACCGGAATGGTAAAGAGTACACAGTGGCTCCAAGACAAGTGCGTCTCAACTCCAAGATCTTCGACAAGCATGTCCCGAAGGGAGTGGCGCACGTAGTCATTGAATTCATCAAGGCACTCTTCATGGCCCAGATAGGTGGTGAAGGGGCGTACGACAGATCTTGCAGACGCTGACAAGTACACCGTCTCCGACTCTTCCACATCTGCCACTGGTCTGTCGGCACATTCGACGGGCACCGCCAAGACAGGGTCTTCGAATCCGTCGAAGAGCTCGGCAACATGCTCCTCAATTCTGGAGCGGTCCGCCTCAACGGAGCACTGTGCTAAACGAATATTGAAGCACTCCATGTCTCTGAGCATGGCATCGTGATCCATCAACTTCTGTGGGAAGGTCCGAATGCTCGCCAAGATGAAGGGCAAGGCCGAAAACAAGGCAATCGAAGGCACATTGAACAAGTACAGGAGCATGCGGCTCTCCCCATAGGCCTGGGTTTCATGAGGCTTTAGGGTTTAGGGTTTAGGGGATATATTGTGATTGATATGGCTCCCCCAGTATAATAACTGTAAGTTAAATAGGAGTTTCTCAAGCAGGGGGGCCCTGAGGACCCAAACGATACAGAGGGATTATAAAGGGATTCTAGAGGCTGCAAAGATTTTATAGGGTCCTATATTGAGAAACACCCAAGTTCCTTAACAGTAGCCCAGAGGCAAGTGGGTTGGCGGCGGCTGCGCTGTCGTAGCTCAGAGAGACCAATCCGAGCTCTGGCGTGTTGCTCAAAACCTAGGTTAGATTTGGGAGTTTCTCGAAAAATGAGGGTTTAGGTCCTTGGGATGCAGGGTTTAGGGTTTACGGTTTAGGGTTTAGGGTCAAAAAGGGTCCTGAGGAACCTAAGAGGTATAGGGCGACCACAAGCAAGAACTAGTAGAGGGAGCCGATTAAGGATTATATGTATATATGTATGTATGGATAATATTGAGGCATACCCATTTGGGGGCTCCATACGAGGTCCACATGTGACGGGTTGTATGGAGATACGGAGAATTGAGGAACCGCTATACTTACAAAACATGGAAGTTTCCGAAAATAAGGGGTACCTTAATTAGGGGTCCTTATAATAAGGATCCTGCTATTTAGGGTACTATATTAAGGTCCCCTATTTTCGGAAACCCCCGTCATGTTTCAGCATACCGAGGAGCCATGTAAGCAGCAGCCAGACGGTTCGTAGCATAGGAGGACAGGAAGCTGACGAGTAGCCAGGGTGCCATCCATAAGGGAACTACGCGAAGCTGCTGAAGTCCTCTCCTCGGCTCTGAAGTAACCAGGGAGAAAAAAGTATAGACTTTTATTTCATAATGGTTCCGTTAAGGAACAGGCCCCCAAAAAAGTATTAAAGTATGGTACTCCAAAGCCAGGTCTCATTTTGACGAAGATCGAGAGCTCGAATGAGCACCACAAGCGGTCAAAGTATGTCTCACCTGGGAGTTTCCGATAATAGGGAGCCCTAATATAGTACCCCAAATGGTAGGATCCTTACTATAAGGACCCCTAATTAAGGTACCCCTTATTTTCGGAAACTCCCACCTAGCAACACGAGCATTTGCTCCGAGTTTGCCACGATGGTGGGCAGCTCAAGGATGCCTTCATGGGGCTTAGGGTCTGGGATTCAGGGTTTAGGGTTTTAGGGTTGGGGGTTTAGGGTTTAGGGTTTAGGGTTGGGGGTTCAGGGTTTAGGTTTTTAGGGTTGGGGGTTCAGGGTTTAGGGTTTAAGGTTGGGGGTTCAGGGCTTAGGGTTAAGTTTAGGGCATCTTTCTCGACATCCTGCTGAAAACTGAATGAAGTCTCCGCTGCTGCTTAGAGTCATAGCAAACAAAACTTCAAAACCCCCGGTTAGTATTTGTTTTGGCTGCTTCTTAGGTCCATAGTGAACAGATTAAACATGGGTCAAGGATCCCTCTACCCCCATTCCGAAAAAAGAACATCCATGGGCACCCGTAAGGTACCCCCGTTTAGAAGAACTCTCAAGAAGGCTCAACCCCAAACCCTGAGCCCAAAACCCTAAACCCTAAACTCTGAACCCAAAACCCTAGTTTTGGGACCCACCAAGATGCCACGTAGCTTGCGACTGACGTCGGTCTGGTCTATGCACAGCCTGTCCAGCCACATGCTTGGACTCCACCACCTTCTATAGAGGGGCTGGGGCTTAGGAGTTAGGGCTTAGGGTTGAAGGTGTGTACTGAGAGTCCCCTGTTCCATAGGAGTTATATGAACAGTTTTCAAGTTCAAGCCCCCTACATACCCCCGATGTGTAACTATTTAGAGACTTCCACCTGCAGGTCAAGTGCTGTCCCGCGAAAAACACGACCAAGAAGACCAGAACCGGCACGTCCAAGAGGATCAGGAACATGGTGTTCAGCGAGGACTCCCGAGGAAGCAGAAACCAAAGAGTCGCGTGCGATAAGATCACTGCAGCAACAGTGGCCTTGAAAAGAGGGATTGAACATAAAAGACCCCAATAGAAGGCATTTTGACAACAACCTCTGTGAACCCTCTTTGGGACGTTTTTTCAGCTCTTAGCAACAGTGGCCTTGAATGCGAGATTGTAGTTCAGAAAGAAACACATGGCCAAATGCTTCTGCCAGCGGTCATCTGCCCAAGAGTGGCTCACAAACACATCAGGCCCATTGGCGCTGTGCGTATACGAAGCTTCATGAGCGATGTCGGCTGCTTTACACCAAACGCGGCCAAACCCAGAAAGAACAGCCGTTGAGGAAGCGACTTGGCAGGAGACATCTCTCACAGGCTTCCGCAGGCGATTCATTGCGGAAAGCTGCGAGGAATTTGGAACTGTGCAACAAAGTTCCCGAATAAATGGGTTAGGATTTAGGATTTAGGGTTTAGGGTTTAGGGCTGTGGGTTTGGGACTACCTTGACGCATCTGACTCTTCCGGCACCTGATCCTGACAAAGAGCTGGACGACTTTAGAAATCATTTATATCCCCAATATGGGTAGTTTTCGAAATTGGGGTCCCTTTCAGGGTCCTTATTATAAGGGTGCCGTACTATATTGGGGACCTGAAAAGGGATCCCATATACCCTATATCCCCAACATACCAAATAATGCAAATATACCCAATATTCCGAGTATACCCATTATCCCCAAAAACCAATAGCCCCTACACCCTAAACCCTACAATGGATTTCAAGACCGACGAAGTCACTCACCTTTAGTGGCGGGCTCAAAGGCAGCAGCGCGAGCAAATGCCTACTGTGAAGGGGCCTCAGAAACAAGGTTTGGGTTAGGGTTTAGGATTTAGGGTTTGTTGCTACGAAAATTAAGAGGACCCCAATATAGTAGAATCTTTACACGGTATATAGTATCAATGCCTAGCGTGGAAAGAAAGATGATGAATAGAATAGCGATCGAAGCCAGCTTAGCATTTCATGTGCATGAGATGCACGCCTCGAGGTGAATTGGGACTGGGTCAAAATGAAGGTCACTGTGCGCTGCACGCCCTTCAACAGAACTGCACACTTTCATAAACCCCTAAACCACACACCTAATTTACTAAACCCTAAACCCTAAACCTTCCTGAAAAAGGCCAGAGCTTTGACCCCCGCCCCCGCCCCACCGGCCACAATTGGACCTGACTGCACTACGCCTGCGACAAGCCTGGAGACCCGAACTCTACAGCTAGGCAGAATGAGGGGTCCCTTCAAGGGGTTTGGCTTTAGGGTTGAGGGCTGAAGGTTTGTGTAGAGAACAGGAGGGATTCATAAAGACTCTACAGGGGTTCAATGGGGGAGGTACATCCAAATTAGCTGAACCACTTTTTTGAAGAACTCATGGCCCAAATGTGACCCACAGCCACGTGAGGATGGCATGCGGCAGTTCTTCTCCCTACACCCATGACCACTCCGCCCCAATCCTTATGATGTGAAAGTTATAAGAGCCTAGGGGTAAGGGCGTAAGGTTTGTAACCCGAAAACCCCAAACTGGCGGAGTGGTACAGCTTGAATCTTTTTCCAGGGTCTGCAGCAATGGGGCTGCTCCCATCTCACACACTTCACGTTATGAGGAGGAACTCAAAACGGACCCAGCTATGGTACAATCGCTCCATGAAAGGACCCCACCACAAAAACCTGCGTTGCTGCTAATGGATGTAAACTAAGTTAGTATCAGTGGGATATATAGCAACTAATAGGGTTTTAGTATTATGCTAACCGCAAGCAGATTCCATAACGGCAACCCCGAAAAGGACTCAATAGTTTTCGGAGCCTTGCATCTTGGGCATACGTTCGAGACCACCAAGTCCAGAAATCCCACTTCAAACCCCATGCAACGAGCTTGACGGATGCAGCAGGTTTTGCATGTTCTCACTGGCCCAAAACCCAAGGAAATAAAAGTTGAAACTTTCAGAATCGGCCACTTTATAAGAACCCCAAAAGTTGAAAAGTTGAGTTTACAGCCAATGAGTGTTGCTCAGAATCTCTAAAGGGCAACCCATAAACCCTAAACCCTGCACCCCGATAGCTGTACCCAATTTACCCAATAGATCCAACATGGTAGCGTAATTCTGAAAAAAAAAAACCGCATTTGAGGGGGGATTCTCAAAAAAGATGAACCCGTAGGGATGCAAGCGGACTATTGGTATTATTACTACTACTATGATTATTACTATTACTACTACTATTGCTATTACTATCATGTGCCGTACTTTGTTGTGCAGTTTGTTTGCATGTTGTATATTACCTAATGCCAGGGTTTAGACGGTCCGGAGCTTGAGGTTAAGGGTTTGAGGTTTAGCTGTTTCTTGCTTGGTTTGCCTATGCTTTAAGTGCAGGCTTTTTCTCTCCCTTCGTTGCACCGTGCTACGGCTTACCTTGGGGGGTTTGTGATTGAGGGCTGAGAGTTTAAACAGTTTGAGCGGCTTACGCCTGTTTAAAGCTTTGGGGCTCTAGACATAGGAACTTATGGTTCACGGATTTGCGAATAACCTGTAGCAGCCAGCAAACAGCCGGGAAAGGGCTTCAAAAGGAATGGGCAGAGTCATCTGATGGTCTGATGGTGGAGGATCAGGGGTTTTGAGGGTTTGTCACAGCATTTAACTACAAACATGTAGCAAAACCCAAATCCCTAAAGCCTGACCCATAAAGGCCAGAACCCTGTAAGGTGCCTGGCACCACGAACCCCAACAGTTGCTCCAACTTTTGATAAGAAGACCGAAATGGTGCGTTTAAGGAGTTTCGTTGGTTTCATAAGTCCTCCGTCACGTGTCTGCTCTGAAATATGATTCCCTTGTAGTGCACTGAAATCTATCCCAAAAACCTGTTCGAGTTTATGTTCCCCTTAAATTCACAAACTTTAAACACCCTATTCTTAGTTACTGCAAGCTCCATTATACCACCCTATCAGACCCTCTTACAAAAGACCTCATCATTAAACCCCTACGAAGCCCTACTCTTTTGATCAAGACCCCTCTTCTCATTGAGCACAATATTCTATTCCCTACACCCTAAACCCTGCTATTCCCCCTCGCCTCATTGAGCACAATATTCCATTCCCTAAGCCCTGAACCCTAAGCCCTAAACCTCTAAGGTAGAACCCATGGGCCCCTAGTATGGGCCCTTAATGCTGGGACCCTAATATACCTACTATATACCCTATATATACCCAAGGGACCCTAGAATCCCCTAAGGGCCCATGTTAGGGGCCCATGGGTTCAACCTTAGAAAACCCGTTATTCTCTGCAGCCGAGGGGCCTTGGAAGATGGGTCCAAGCGGGCCGAGATAATCGAACCTTCAGAGCGCCGTGGGGGTTTGGAAGACTTAGGGCTTAGGCTTTCGGGGTTTAGGGTTTAGAGGTTTTGGGTTTAGGGAATTAGAGTTTAGAGGTTTGGGGTTTAGAGGTTTTGGGTTTAGGGAATTAGGGTTTAGAGGTTTAGGGTTTAGGGTTTAGCGGTTAGAGAAGGCGGGGGGCACGGAAGGTGCCCGCTTCAGGTATGGAGACCTCGTTATACAGCAGTGTACTTAAAGGTTCATGGGACTTAGTAAGGTAGGGTTATAACCAAATTAACTATACTTATAACCCCAATTAGGGGACTTATAACCTTACCCCTAAACCCTAAACCCTAAACCCTAAGCCCTAAACCCTAAACCCTAAACCCTAAACCCTAAACCTTATCTTACTAAGTCCCATGATCCTCCAAGTAGCCTGGGGGGTGCAGTTCTCAGGGAAGGGACTTGAAGCTCGGAGTTCAATGGGGGTTTAGGGTTTAGGGT